GGCGCGCCGGGGGCCGCTTGCCCAGTCGGGCGCGAGAGCCATGGAGACGCTGAGGGAGTCTGTGCTGCACTTGGCCTTGCAGATGTCGACCTACAAGCGGGCCACGCTGGACGAGGAGGACCTGGTGGACTCGCTCTCCGAGGGCGACGTGTACCCCAACGGCCTGCAGGTAGGAGCCCGCGCTCCCCGGACCCTCGCCGCGCCGCGGCTCCCGGCCCCAGGCTCTGCCCGGGCATGCGCGCTGGCGCTGCCCCGCCCCCTGTCCTGCCAGCCCCAGAGGGGACATGCCAGCCCCGCAGCTCTAACCTGCCCCTGCCTGCACTTCCCGTCCCCAAATCCTCCTGGCCACCTGCTAATGGGGCTGCAGCTCTGGTAACAGAGTCCAAGCACCCCTGGCCTATTTCCATTTTCACTAAAGACAATCCTTGGGAGCCAAGGGACAAACAGGGTCACAGAACCTATTACCGGCAGGGTCTAAAACCGCACGAGTTTTAGCCAGGGAAGCCTGCGTCCCTGGATCCCACTGCCTAAGTCGCGGGCACGCTGGGAGAGGTAGTCACCCTATCTGGTAGGCATTACCCCTTCTTTCCCCTGGATATTTGAATTTCCGAGGGAGAACAACCCAACCTTCTCCCTTTCTCTCGTGCCCCTGTCCAGCCTATTCCGGAAGCCCTGTTCCTCCCCTCCGCAGGGTCTACCCCTGTATGCGACAAGGAGAGAGGCCTCACCTTCCCTCCCCGGGCAGAACAGCAAGTGGGGCCTGCCCCGGGACTGTTCTGCCAGGACCTCAGCCCAGGGGGAGCTCAGACCCAGACAGTAGGGTGGGAGTGAGTAGAAAACGTCCAGGACTCCCAACGTGGCCCTGCAAATCAGCATAAAGGAGCCAGGACACCCCAGTCCAGGGGACTTCTGCCAGGCAGATCAAGGGAGGCATTGGGAGTCAGAGGAACTCTTTCAAGGGCAAGCTTAGGGTGAAGGATGCCCCACTGCCAGACCAGCTCCACTCAGGCTCCTTAGAAGCTGGAACTGACACTAGTAAAGGGAACTAGCATTGAGTTCCTCCTCCAGGCCAGTTGACCTTGGGAGATTTGAACTCATGATCCAAGTGCTCTCCCCTGTGGGCTGAGGCACCTACATCCCTCGTCACACTTAGGCTTCAGGACCACACTCAAGAACTACGGGGACTGCGTTTCCCACTTCCCCACTTAGAGATCGGCAAACTGAGGCTGAGAGGAGCCTCTCACCTTGCCACAGAGCTGGAAATCTAGGGGTGGCAAGTCAAACCCAGTCTGTCCAGAACCTCCTCGCTTCTTTAGAGGCCAAATCCAGCAGGAAATTAGATTTCTGTGGCAGAACTTCTCCCAAAAATCAAAAAAGAATCTAATCAGCAATCCTTTTCAGTCTCCTCTTCCACAGAAGGTTCTAAATATATCAGCATGGAACATTTCAGAATCCAAAAACAAAATAATACCCTGAATTGTTATCATCGTAGCAGCAGCCCACTTGGGTAGGGCCTTTTTCGGGTCAAGTTTATTCATCCGTGTGAGGCTGCCTGGATGGAAGAGAGGAGGGAGCCCAGTCTCTGAAGCGAGGGACCTGGGTTTGAATTCTGACTTCTTCATGCCCTTGGGTGAACTGCTTTTATTTCTTTTAGCTGCCATTCTCAGAGAAAGTGGATGTAATGCAGATTTCTGGGCCGGCTAGGATTTTTGGTGTTTCATGGCCTGCGAGGTGAGGCGGACATGGCCATGTTCCAGACGGTGAAAGTGAGGTACAGGCAGCAGTCGGAGCATCGCCATGGTCCCACTGCTGTTGTGGGGGTTGGAGTTCAGTGTTGGTGTCCACACGCCAGGCCACCCAGCGGGTACATTTTCCACTCCTCATTCAGGAAAAGACAAGGTTGCCCAAGGATCTGAGGCATCTCTGTGGGTAGCAGCTTGGCTGGCTTGGAACCTCCACAACTTCCCCAAAGGCACAACCAGTGTTTTCCTGAGTCAGGACCCTGTCCACCTCAGTTCACAAGGCAGTTTCCCATTAGTTTAATGTTTTCAATCACTGGTGTGTTTTTGTTTTCTGTCTTTCCATATGAAAGCTTTACATGCTCATTTCTGAAAAAAAAGTGAGTCAAGTATTAAAAAGGATTTAAAAAGCCTTTTCTACCTACTAATCACAGATAATGGCTTCCAGTGTCGGGTTTCACAGCTGTATGTGCATATTTTTAAGCATAGTTGAGCTCGCTCTAAATATACAATGTCACATACTGCTTTTTTCCTTCAGTGCCACTAAAGCATTTTTATGTTGTTAAAAACTTCCAAAACATGCTGTCATTAAACATTATGACACCTCCTGGTACCAATATATAATAATATATTTAGTCAATTCAAAAGAGCTGGTCACTAGGCCCAGTTGCTATCACACCATTTCTTATCATAACTTTTCAAATTATTGTATTTCCTATGGGCTGATTGCTAGAAACATAACTGCTCACTTAATTTTAGACTTTTTAGAAATGGTCCGTCATCCCCAAATCTCCCAAATCTCAAATCTTTCTCAATGGGCAGCTATGAAAATAAGATATTTGATTTCCAAGATGTTTTCAATCACTGGTGTGTTTTTGTTTTCTGTCTTTCCATATGAAAGCCTTACATGTTCATTTCTGGAAAAAAGTGAGTCAAGTATTAAAAAGGATTTAAAAAGCCTTTTCAACCTACTAGAAATCAACCTACTAGAAATCCATGATTTCTAGGCAGTCCAAAAGTTATCAACACCAATAACTAATACACGAAAATGTCCATTTTTCCAACAAATTGGCCACATTTATCACTGGGCGTGCTGACAAATGTTGAATTTAACTGGAGCAGAGTTCTACCTCTACCTCTTCTGAATGGGATTTTCTATTCCGTTATCTCACATTTTAGGCACAAATCACTTGCAGTCCACTAGAATGAGTCGTTGTGGACCAAAAACAGAATTCCAAGCCGACCAGCCCTCACTTGGTGTCCCAGCTCTGTCTCTCTCGGGCTGTGAGACCTCCAAGCAGTTCACACAGCTTTCTTTGTGAAATGGGATTAATACCATTAACTCACCTCTCAAGTGCGGGCAGAGAGCCAAATGAAGCAGTGCCGGTGAAAGCATTTTGTCTAGTGCTTAGAAATGCATTTGGTGGTTACCAGGACTATCAGAGAAACTCACTAGGCCTCCTATCTCAGTGAGACCTTGCAGAAGAGCTTCTCTTCTGCAGCTTCTGCTAAGGCCCCAGGCCCAAACACACTTCGCTTCTGTGGCTTGAAGGGAAGTAGTCCAGATTACACGTGCAGCTTAACCTGGAGAACAGACGGCCACAGTTGTCTACCAAAACCTTTGGAAACTCGTCGATTACTTCTAAAAGTCTAGGGCTTTTGTTTTGTTTGTTTTTAAGGAAAGACACTGAGATTTTAAATTCTTAGTAGCAGGGTTTGTTTTTACTTTTTTCCACTATACACAGGTCCGTCTTTCATGGGGTTTTTCAGGGAGAGGTCCACTGAGTACTTTAAAAAGTACTTTTTAAAGACCAGAAGGGGGACCAGCAGGTGGCATAATGGTTAGGGTGCTGGAATCCCACATACCCAACTGCGGTTTGAGTCCTGAACCTGATGGCTTAAAAACCATGCTGGATGCATGTGCATGCATGTCCAAAATCCCAGAAAGAGAATGGAGGAGAAGGAATTGCAGCATGGCCATCCCCCCACCCAAGGGGTAATTTCTCACTTTCTCTCTCTAGCAAGTTCACCCACCCTATGCCAAAAAAACAAAAAAACAAAACAAAACAAAACAAAAAAAAACTTTAAGAAAAATAAAAGAAGGGAAGAAGAGCAGGAGGATTTTAGACTCCGCCCACTTGTTAGAGCTTTGTCCTCTTGGCCTTGAGGTTCTGGAATCAGAGGTGGTCACACCTGGGCCCTCCCCCAGCTTCCTTATTTTACAGATGGGAGGTGAGGCCCAGAGACTACCCAGTGACACAGCAAGGTCTTGGCCGCTTCTGCTTTCTCAGCTCTGCCCCCTTTCTCCCTGTGTGCGTGAGCTGCAGGGAGCGGGGCATGCGTTCTGGGAGGTAAAGGAAGCTTGGAGAGCTTCTTCTAGATACCAGGCTTTGATTCTGGTAAGAGGAGAAGAGTCCCCTCCTATTTGGGGATGGGGGGGGGGTCTTCAGAAAGTTCGTGGAAAATGTGTATTATTGAAAAACTGAGTGGATTTCGAAAATTTTTACACCAAAATAAATGTGTACTTTAATTCTATTTTTTAAATGAACTATTTGACGTCTCCCATACTTTAAACCGTTGCTAGTCATTTGAATAAAGGCGTGGAGGCAGGGTGGCAGGGCTCAGAGTTAGGAGAACAAGAGGATGTTACAGTTCTACTCTCGGCTAACCCCGATGGCCTCACCCGGAAGTCCACCTCATGGAAACTTTACTGGAAGAAACTTCCCCAAACTGACACCCTTGCAGAGGCAGGATGCCTATCAGGGCTGAGCTGTCACGGTCTACCTGCTCTGAAAGGCTGGCCCACCAGCAGGCGGCCTGGACCCCCACCAGCCCTCATGGGTAGCGGGGCTTGAGCTGCAGGGCACAGCCTTGGCCAGAGGACTCCTGGTGGCTGCTTCATGCAGCCCAGGTCACTGGGGGACCTGCTGGTGGTTCGGGAGGAGCCTCCACCTTCCCGCCCAAGTGGACTCTGCAACCCAGGCTTTGCCTGCTCCCCACCCTTCTGCTGCGGCTTCTCTCCTGGGCCCCAGGCACCTGTGCCTCATTCTCACCTGCAGAACTTGTTCTTGCTGTAAGCCCAGGTGAGCGCATACTCACTTCTGTAACCAAATATTTATCCCTGATTCGGCTTTGTTCCCTTGGCTGTGGAAACCCTGGGAACTCCTGGGCTGGACAGCTTGGTCTCTTTCTCTGGCCCTGTCTCCTGTGTGTGTGTCTCTCTCCTCTCTTCCTACCCCTTTTGAGGCTCCTCTCTCTCGCTCCCACCCCCATCTCAGTCTGCCCTGCACGAAGATTAAGCCTGCCACAGCAGCCTCTGCAGCACTTCTCAACGCCATCTCCCGGCTGGCTCTCCTCTTTGGCTCATGGCCACTTCCCAGTCACCTCTCCCAAAGTGGATCAGGCTGCTTGCCACTAATCCTCCAAGTCCCTGCAGACAGTCTCCTCTGACTGGCCTGTCCCCATTCCCAAAGGGAAGTGCCGCCTATGACCTTCCCTCCTGGCGTCCCTTCCCAGACCCTGTGAGGGCAGCAGGTCGGTGTGATGGGGCTCAGAGAGAAGGGGCCCAGCCCTAGGAAGCAGAGTGTTCTGTGGCTCACAGCCCGACCCTTTGGTGCGCCCAGGAACTGGCCAGCCTCCCTGGGAGAGGCCTCTCCATCCTGGCCCAGTACCTCCAGGAGCCTTCTCCCCATTCCTTCTGCCCTCAGAGACAGGCTTGTCTGGAAACCAAGCGGTCCTTAGCCTGGCAGTCTGAGTCGAACAAAGAACATGACAAAGATTAAAAATTCTGTTTTCAAATTCTGTTTGCCATTCTTTCCTAGAACTATGAATTTTTAATTCAATTTTGGCGTAATCCTAATCTAATTTTGCAGTGAACACCATGCTTAGAGTCAACAGTTGGCTTGACATCAAACAATGAGGTTCAGCTCCTAGGGAGGGTAGCGTGGTCTGACTGGATACGACTGCCAAGTCCAGAGAGAGGGATGTCTCAGGTTCTCTCCCCTACTCCCCACTTCCTGTGCTTCTTCTGAAATCAACACTCGTACCTGCCCCTAGGGATGTTGTGAAGAGAGAATTGCACCCTTGGGAACCAGCAGTTAGCATAATGGCTATGTCACTGGACTCCCGTGTAGTCAACTACAGTTTGAGTCCCAGACCCGGTGGCTTAAACTCATGCCAGGCGCGTGGGCACCCAAGAGCCAGAGAGGAGAATGGAGGAGAAGGGATTGCAGCGTGGCCATCCCCCTTGGGGAGTGATTTCTCGCTTTCTGTCTCTCTGTCTCTCTGGCGAGGACACGTGCCCTATAGCAAAAACCTTGCCAAAAAAAGAGAGAGAGAATTACACCCTTTAGTCACAAAGTGGAATGAACTGCAGTGCCGGACACAGAGTAAGCGCTCATATTTTTAGCTGCTGTTATTAGTACTGCTTTTCCTTCGCTCCTTCTGTGTCCCCGTCCTTTATTTCTTCCTTTCCTGGCAGATGCTCTTGCTCCTTGCCCCCGGCCATCACCTCAGTCCCCACCCAACAGCACTTCCCTGTCCAGATCATGTGAGGCGCTCCTGCTTCCCCGAGCCTGCCGGCTGTGTCCTCTGGCTTCTTAAAGCCAGCAGCAGACAGAGAGGTGCCCCCTAAACCGACGTCTCACTGCCTGTCTGCACCCTGCAAAGCCCCGAGGAGCCGTGATTGGAGCGGGAGCTGGAGGAGGAGGGCCAGGTAACCCGGGGCAGGGCAAGCAATATGTGGGCTGTCCCCAAGCCAGGCAGCACCTGCTTCATGTCTTCCGGCCCCGGCTCCGTGAGTACCAGTGCCCCCGTAAAGGTGTGAGATCCGTGATGGCTCTGAAGTAGCGCTCCAGGAACTTTCAAGTGCTGTGTCCCTGTCAGCGTCGTCCCAGGCCATCCTCCCTGTGCCAGGCCCTCGCAGCCTGAAGCTTTAACTAAGGAGAGTAGCACGACCAGAGGTCTTTGTGTCTCTCATTAAAAAAAAAAAAAGAATTCTTAAGGAATTTCAACTGGCAACATCCCTGCCTCTCCCCAGCCCATCTGCTTCAGTGTCTGAGTCCCTGGACCTCCACAGAATTGTCCCCGAGCCTCCAGCTCCTTTTCTCAGCTCTAGAACTCAGTTTTTATCCCATGAACTTTTCATGGAATAACTTGTGACCTCTCCCCTTCTCTGCTGCAGAAGTGCCCAGTCATTTCCTGCCCAGAACATGGGTGATGACCATGTAGCCTCCCAGCGTCCCTCCCTAAGTGACCTGCCTGAGATCCCAGGGCACCAACATGTGGCGCCATCAGACCTATGCCCTGGCTCTGGCCTGGGCTGGTCTGGGTCTCCTCATCTCCCCAACAGCTCCCCTTCTCTGCCTGCTCGGGGGGCTCTCTATTCCTGTGCCTGCTCCTCACCAAGCCTCGCCCTCTGCACTTTGCCCTTTCCAAACCTGATTGTGTCACTGCAGCCCTCTGGAGGCTGTCCTTGCTATTTAATCTGGCATGTAGTACCCTTCCCCTTCCCCATTCACCTGGCCAGCTCAACTATTCTTCAAGACCCAGCCCAGACATCACCTCCTCCAGGAAGCCTTCTCTGACTGAACTGCCCACCCCAGTCCATTTTCTCATCTGCCTCCGTGCTGGGCTGTGAGAAGCTGAAAGTGGGGGTGTCTGTCTTCCCTTCCATATTTCCAACATGACCCTGAGCCTGTTCCCAGCTGTCTGTGCATAGAGGCAATTGTCACCAAACTGAGCCCCACCTTTGAGGTACCCGTCCGGCCCTGTGGCCTTGGCTTTTTCAAGAGGCACCTCTTGGGACAGAAGGCCACCCCGAGCTGGCCTCGGGTATGAGGGCCTGGGCTGAGGGCTCCAAGTGCCGCTGGCTGCTGTGTCCCTCCTCTGGCCAGGGGGCCCCACCACACCCGCTGCTTCCCCTCATTGTGCCTCCTTCCTGTTTAGCCAGACCGTGAGGCTGGGGACACTTTTCCTCCCTTTGAGGACCTGCTTGAATGCAGTTCTTTTCCCAGCATCTCCCTCAACATCGCCTAAGACCCAGTTTCTGTCCCACCGGTGGGCTCTAGAATCCACCGGGGGTTCCAAACCCCAGCTCTCCCCTGTGCGCTGAGAGGTGAGGGTCCCACTCCTCGGGACCTTGGCTTCCTCTTTTGTAAAGAGGAATGAACAAATCTGGACACTCCGTGGGGTGGTGAGGGTCTGGTGAGCTGAGAACGTCCCTGCGTCTGGAAGGTGGGAGCCAAGACCGTGCCGTCCTGGTCCCTGGCCCTGTCCCGGGAGCTCCGAGGAGAGCCAAGGAGAGCCGGTCCGGAAGCTCCCTGGATGCCTGCAAGTGCAAACATCCTGTTCTTTTTTGAACTCCTTACTGGAGAAACAGGGAAAAGCTGTCGTTTTTTCCTTCTACCCATATCTGGTAACACAAAACACACAAGCCCAGCTGGATTGAGCTACTTGACTTTCTGAGGTTTGGAAGCAAATCCTAGCGGCTGAGCAGGGTGGTGGTTCTTTTCCTGGATTAGGACTGATTCCTTGAGAACCAGACCACCCCTGAGACAAGACCACTGGCCCTGATGCCACCTCAGGGCCTGGACCTGCGGCGGAGCCCCTTCCTCCTGGGGAGGAGGTGGCCAGGGCTTACCTCCACCCCGCCCCTCCTGCCTCCTTCCCTCCAGGTGAACTTCCGCAGCCCCCGGAGCGGCCAGAGCTGCTGGGCTGCACGGACCCAGGTGGAGAAGCGGCTGGTGGTGCTGGTGGCACTTCTGGTGGCAGGACTGGTGGCCTGTTTGGCAGCACTGGGCATCCAGTATCGGACAAGTAGGTGTCTCTGCGTTACGGGGCGGTCTCAACTCACAGCTCTCCTGGCTCTGTCCGGTGTGCAGGTGGGGGGCTTCCCTGCTTGGGCCAGGGCCAGCCTCCACGACCCAGGGCGGAGCTGGCCTAGACGGTCCAGGGTGCTGAGACAGCAAGACCTTGGAGCTGGGAGGTGTGGGTGGTGTAAAGGTTTTGGAGTAAGGACATCCTGACCCAGGAACTTATCAGCCATGTGACCTTGGATAAGTCACTTGGTCTCCCAGAGCCTGGCTCCTCTCTGCTCCAAATAGGGGAAACGGTACCCAGTTTGGGATGGTTCTGAGGATGAGAGGTAGCAAGTATCACATGCCTGGGGCCTTACAAGACTTCCTCACCGTGGTTCTGGGGACCATTAGCGTGCGGACAGGCCGGCACTCAGACACCGTCTGTGGTCCCTGGTTCTGATAAGATAGCAGCGATGGCTTCTGCTTACCCAGTGCTTTCTGGGTGCTAAACACCCCCTGTCTGCATCACAGTGGTAGTCTCGTTTCCTCCTCACAGCAGCCCGGTGAGGTGTGGCTCCCCTTCCATATTAGGAAACTGAGGCACCGAGGCTGCGTGACTTGCCCCAGGTGGATGGCTGGGCAGTGGTGGGGACTGAGTGGAAAAGCTGGAATTTACCCAGAGCCCAGGCCCTGTGCCCCCTTGTAACCAGGGTGCACTCCAGAGTAGATCAGGACCCCAGAAACGCGGTCCTTCTGCGACCCCGTTGCCTTTGCACAGCTCTGTGAGTGCGTTGACCCACCCTGGCTTGCCCGGCGATGTGACCGGGCCCCTCTCTGACCTGCTCTCAGGGCCTGTGGCTGGTCGGCTGTGTCCAGCCCAGTGGATGGAGCCAAGTAGCTCCCGCAGAGCCACTGCTCGGGAAGCCAGCACAGCAGCACTGGAAGGGCAGATCCCAGCTGACAAGGGTGGGCAGGTCAGCCCCTTCAGGACCTCTCACCACCCGGGCCTCAACAGTCAGCTTTCTGATGGCAGGTGGTCCACCTGATCAGGCCTCTGGGGCCTTTGCTCAGGTTTCCACCCATCAGTGTGGTCACTCACACAAGTAGGGAGACTATGACCCTTTGCAGGGCCTGGGAGTGTCCACCCCAGGCTGTGGTGACCTTGTCCATGGTGGAGTTGCCAACCTGCAGATGTGATTGTGCTAGACTAGGATGGGAGCTGAGGGGCCTGGAGAGAGGGCAGGGGCTTCACTAAGTCACCCTCGCCTCCCTCCAGTGCAGTTACGTACTCACTCATTCATTGATCATCCCACAAACGTTTACTGAGTGCTTACTCTGTGTCAGACACTGGGCCAAGTACTGTGTGATACTTAAATACTTGTTTGAGGGACCAGCACTTAGCGTAATGGCTATGTCACTGGACTCCCACGTAGCCAACCGCGGTTCGAGTCCCAGACCCAGTGGCTTAAACTGACGTCAGGCATGTGTGTGTGTGCGCCCAAGATCCCGAGAGGAGAATGGAGGAGATGGGATTGCGGCGTGGCCATCCCCCCTGGGGGGTGATTTCTCGCTTTCTGTCTCTCTGTCTGTCTGTCTGGCGAGCACACGCGCCCTATAGCAAAAACCTCTCAAAAAAAGAAAGAAAGAAAGAAAGAAAGAAAGAAAGAAAGAAAGAAAGAAAGAAAGAAAGAGAAAGAAACACTTGCTTGATTATTTAACTGGTGAATGGTTTGTGGATGTTTTACCAAATGTGCCTGGCCCAGCAGGTGCTTCATATGTGATTAGTTCATTACTAGTTTCCAGGCCTGGTGCCTGTGTTCCACAGTGCCCAAGTAGTGAAAGGAATGAACAAATGGGAACCAGCAGTTAGCGTAATGGCTATTTTGCTGGACTCCCACGTAGTTGACTGCAGTTCAAGTCCCGGACCTGGTGGCTTTAAAACTCACACTGGGCGCGTGTGCGTGCGTGCCCAAGATCCCAAGAGGAGAATGGAAGAGAACGGATTGTGACCTGGCCATCCCCTCTGGGGGGTGATTTCTTGCTTTTTATCTCTCTGTCTCTCTCTGTCTGGCGAGTGCACGTGTGCTATAGCAAAAACCTCTCCAAAAAAAAAATAATAATAATAATAAAGAATGAACAGATGACCGGATGAACGAGGAGGGTGACGTTGGGAGCAGCCTTTCTTTTCTGTATGTACGTGTGTGTGAGTGTGTCTGTGAGTGTGTACCTGTACCTGCTCCACCAGTGGGGTGCAGGCTGGTTGTCCTTGTCCTGCAACGGCCATCTTGCCTCATTCTGCATCAGCTTCCATGCAGAACTCCCTGCAGGGCAGTGTGGACCCTGGCCAGCCCTCATGCCCAGTTCATGGCCCAGGGCAAGGGGAGCAGTTCAGACTCAGCAGCTGGTGTTGCCCTAAGACTGCCCCTAGGAACTCCCAAGCTGTTTCTTTGCTAGAACCAGAAGGGCATCCCCAAGGACTGGCTCTTAGCCACCAGATCCAGAGCGTTCTACAGTGATTGCCCTAGTGGGGCCTACAGAAAGGGACCCTGCTTTTGCCTCTGTCCAGCCCTCTCCAGGCCTCAGATCGGTTTTCCCAGCCCAGGGAGGAAGGCCATCCCTCTTCCCCTGGGTAGAGATGGGCCAAAGATCAAGTGACCCCTGTACCACCTAGGATGGCAGAGGCCACCTGGATAGTCACCCTGTTCTCCAGCAGCAGGGGCTGGCACCAGCCACATCTGAGCACAGTCAAAGCAGACCCTCTGGGAAGTCCAAGAGACCCACCTCCAGGTCCCGTTTGGCACTTGCATGCGTCTTTACCTGGCTCCTGCACCCTCTTTTGGAAACAGTGGCAGCAGAGCAAACAATAGGGTCTCTCAGGAGATCTTTCAGGTGCTTTACACAGGGAGGCTGAGCACTGTCCAGACGCACGTCTGTAAAGGAGGTCTGAGCTGGTCCTGCCTTCTCAGCCGACTGCGCACGTTGCTCTACCTCCACTGTGACCGAGTGCTGGGCCAAGGCCTTGCAGTCACCCAGTCAGTCCTTTATCCAGCAGACGTGTATCCAACAGCTGCTCAGTGCCAAGTAGGATGCTGGGCAAAAGAAATGTAAAAGCAAGCCGGCAAGTAGTATGGTAGTTATGGGCGTTGGACTCCACATGGCTGACTGTGGTTCAAGTCCCGGGCCTGGCGGCTTGCTTTCTCACTTTCTCTCTCTCTTGGTCACTCTGTCCCTCAAGTTAAAATAAATAAGTGGATAAAGTTAAATCAAATAATTCTTAAAAATAAAAAAGAAAGGAACATAAAAGCAAGTAAAATCCTGGCCCCAGCTCTGAGCTTGTGTTCTGGTGGGGGAAACAGAGAAGCCATGATGTAACATGGTCTGTGGTGAGATGGCAGGTACCCAGGCATCCAAGGGCCCGGGACGGAAGAGGGGCCAAGAAGGTTTTCCTGAGACAGAGCCTTGGGTCAGGGGGGCCTGGAACCATTAATTCATTAATTAAGTATGTGTTAGGCACTTTCTGGGCCAGGAATAGTTAGTGAGAGATCTACAAAACATTAAATAATTAATCAGACAATTGTTGCTTAAGTACCACCTGGGAACCTGCCCCAGTGTCTAGCAGAGCAGGCACTTGGTGACAAACCCAAACCTCTGAGACTGTCTTCTGAAGACTGGTTTCTTTTCTTTCTTCCCTTTTTTTTAATTTGCCATAGGGCTCGTGTGCTCACCAGAGAGAGACAGGGGTAGGGTGTGGGGGAGAGAGGAGCGAGAGTGAGAAAGCTCTTCCCACAGGGAGGATGGCCTGCAGTCCGATCTCCTCCATTCTCCTCTCGGGATTTCAGGCAGGCACACACACGTGGCCAGTGTGTTTTACAAGCAGCTGGGTCTGGGACTAGAACCATCCAATTGGCCATGAAGGATCTACCTTAACCACCATACCAGCTGCTGGCCCAGGGGATTGGTTTCCTCCTCCTCCTCCTCTTCCTCCTCTTCTTTCTTCTTCTTCCTTTTCCTCTTCTTCTTCTTCCTCTTCATCTTCTTCTTCTTCCTCCTCTTCTTCTTCTTTCTTCTCATCCTCCTTCCTTCCTTTCCTTCTTTCTTTCTTTTTCTTTTTCTTTCTTTCTTCCTTTCTTTTCTTTTTTTTTAAGGCTGTTACCATAGGGTATGCATTCACTTGCTGGAGAGAGAGAGAGACTGAGAGAAAGTGAGAAATCACCCCCAAGGGAGGATGGCCACACGACAGTCCTTCTTCATTTTATTCTAGGATTTGGGGCACACATACACATGTGCCCGGCTTGATTTTCAGGCTACCAGGTGCAGGACTTGAACTGTAGTTGACCGTGTGGGAGTCCAGAACCTTAATCACCACACCACGTTCTGGTCCCATCTTTTGTTTTTAATCCCAAGTCATGGATAACTACAAAACCCTTCATCAGTTGACCAGCCTCTGTCTCTCTGTCTCTCTCTCTGACACACATACACACGAGGATTTCGAGCATCTCACTTCCTATGGATTCCTCCCTTACAACCTGTTTTCTGGGTGTTTCCAGCAGTCAAGATGTCGCCCAGGTTTACGTTCTGCATTTGGTGTATAAGAATAAATAGGTGTTCATTCCCCAGATATGAAGTTATACTGTAATAGTGAACTGGCTCTTTCAAACTATGTGGACAGCCTCTCCTCAACTCCCACCCCTCATAAAGATTCTGGTACATTCCTCTAGTTAGGGGTGGATTAAAATGATGTAATCTAGAGAGATTTTTTTAAATTATTTATTTATTTTAATTTGACCAGAGAGGAGCAGAGTGAGAGAGAGAGAGAGAAACGGGAAGTGAGAAAGCAAGCCACCAGGTCCAGGACTCGAACCATGGCTGGCCATGTGGGAGTGCCCTTAACCATCACACCACCTGCCAGCCAGAAAGCTCTTCCCACAGGGAGGATGGCCTGCAGTCCGATCTCCTCCATTCTCCTCTCGGGATTTCAGGCAGGCACACACACGTGGCCAGTGTGTTTTACAAGCAGCTGGGTCTGGGACTAGAACCATCCAATTGGCCATGAAGGATCTACCTTAACCACCATACCAGCTGCTGGCCCAGGGGATTGGTTTCCTCCTCCTCCTCCTCTTCCTCCTCTTCTTTCTTCTTCTTCCTTTTCCTCTTCTTCTTCTTCCTCTTCATCTTCTTCTTCTTCCTCCTCTTCTTCTTCTTTCTTCTCATCCTCCTTCCTTCCTTTCCTTCTTTCTTTCTTTTTCTTTTTCTTTCTTTCTTCCTTTCTTTTCTTTTTTTTTAAGGCTGTTACCATAGGGTATGCATTCACTTGCTGGAGAGAGAGAGAGACTGAGAGAAAGTGAGAAATCACCCCCAAGGGAGGATGGCCACACGACAGTCCTTCTTCATTTTATTCTAGGATTTGGGGCACACATACACATGTGCCCGGCTTGATTTTCAGGCTACCAGGTGCAGGACTTGAACTGTAGTTGACCGTGTGGGAGTCCAGAACCTTAATCACCACACCACGTTCTGGTCCCATCTTTTGTTTTTAATCCCAAGTCATGGATAACTACAAAACCCTTCATCAGTTGACCAGCCTCTGTCTCTCTGTCTCTCTCTCTGACACACATACACACGAGGATTTCGAGCATCTCACTTCCTATGGATTCCTCCCTTACAACCTGTTTTCTGGGTGTTTCCAGCAGTCAAGATGTCGCCCAGGTTTACGTTCTGCATTTGGTGTATAAGAATAAATAGGTGTTCATTCCCCAGATATGAAGTTATACTGTAATAGTGAACTGGCTCTTTCAAACTATGTGGACAGCCTCTCCTCAACTCCCACCCCTCATAAAGATTCTGGTACATTCCTCTAGTTAGGGGTGGATTAAAATGATGTAATCTAGAGAGATTTTTTTAAATTATTTATTTATTTTAATTTGACCAGAGAGGAGCAGAGTGAGAGAGAGAGAGAGAAACGGGAAGTGAGAAAGCAAGCCACCAGGTCCAGGACTCGAACCATGGCTGGCCATGTGGGAGTGCCCTTAACCATCACACCACCTGCCAGCCCAATCTAGAGAGATTTAGGATGGCACCATCCCTTCTACCATTTCCTTTCTCTATTTTCATACATAATGGCTTAATACTTTCTAATTGTTGTATAGTTATCTCAGAATAAAGTCACCCTGACTTTCCTGCTGTTGTGAGGCACCGTGGAGCCCCCTTGTCAGCCTGAAGGACACTGTGTTTGTCATCAGATGTTAATAAGCCACACTGCCACCCCGGCTGGCATTGGGTTTCTGGGTGAGGTGGAGACAGTCTTTTCTGCTCTCTAAACAATGGCCCAGGAACATCAGACCCTGAGACTCGTGGAAGCTGAGCCCCATGACCAGCCATGCAATTCTTTTCTTTCTTTCTTTTTAAGAATTATTGGGACTAGCAGTTGGCTATGTCACTGGATTCCCACGTGGTCAACCACGGTTTGAGTCCCAGAACTGGTGGCCTAAACTCACGCCGGGCATGTGTGCATGCATGCCCAAGATCCCTAGAGGAGAATGGAGGAGAAATGATTGTGGTGTGGCCATCCCTCCTCACTTTCTGTCTCTCTGTCTCTCTCTGTCTTTCTGGTAAGTGCACATACCCTATAGCAAAAACCTTTCCAAAAAAAATTATTAATTTAATTAATTAATTATTATTATTTTAATTTGCTATAGGGCATGTGCACTCACTAGAGAAAGAAAGAGAGAGGGAAAGTGAGAAAGCAAGTCTCCAGGTCCAGGACTCGACCCATGCATGGTTGGCCATCTGAGAGTCCAGCACTCTAACCACTACACCACCTGCTGGCCCCAAGAAATTATTTTATCATTGCTGTGAAGTTGGTCTTGCTGTTCTTCCTAATTTCAAGATGGAGAAACTGAGGTCTGGAGAGATGAGGTCCTTGAATGATGCCCCTCGGACGGAAGTAGGAAGCTTGAACCCAGGCCTAACGGTCTCCAGTCTGCCGTCCTTCAGTGCCTCCCTGTGTAGCGGGAAATCCAGCCTCTCCAGCTGGGCTACACTACTCTGAATAACCACCGAAGAGGTTGAAAGGGAGGAAAAGACAAAACGAAAAACATGCAGCCTCTGTGTTGCTGGGCCAGGACAGAGCGGGCGTCACACTCGGCTGTCCCACTCAGCTGATAACCTTGCGCACGTGCTCACTGGAGCCTCAGTTTCCTCTTCAATCGGGGCTGTCACTCTTGATCTGGTTTCTGCGAGTCAGGGTTAAATGGGATCCTGAATGTGTGTTAAATGTGTTGAGGAGCCACACTCAGTACAGAGTCCCTGCCATCGCCAGGTGGCTCGTGTCCACAGCCTGGGCCTGTGCTCGTCTGTCCTGCAGGGCTGGCTCATCTTGCTGCCTTAGCCACTAGAGAGGCCACCCTCTGCCGGATCCCTTGACCAGAGCTCATCGACCAACCTTGAGGCAGGCATTGCCAGAACCTTGTCTGGCAACCCAGTCTCTTAGGATGCTTTTGTTTAACTTGCTCCAGGGCATGTACATTCACCAGAGAGACAGAGAGGGAGAGAAGTGAGACAGCACCACCAGGGTGGGAGTGGCCGTGCCACAATCCCTTCTCCTCCATTCTCTCCTGATTTTGCCATGCACACACATGGCTTTTCTTTTTTTTCTTTTTTCTTTTTTTTTTCATTTTTCACCCAAGTTTATATATTTACAGCTTAAATATTTTACTATTTATATATTTATATTTTCCATGAGAGAGAGAGACAGACACCCTCGACAGGGTCTTCACACCTTGATCCAGTCCCAGCGTTAGACGTACCATCATCTGGCCCCAACAAATATATGTATGTATGTGTGTGTGTGTGTGTGTGTGTGTGTGTGTATGGGGTTGTCTTTTTCATACATGAAATCACTATACATCATTTAGATTGTGAAGGTCCAGGACTCGAATCACAGTCAGCCATGTGGGATCTAACTGTCTTGACCTCCATGCCGTCGGCTGGCCCAGTTTTGTTTTGTTTGAGAACTCGGTGAGACTGCCGGCTCTCCGGCCTGTGCTCTGGAGGAATGAGCTCTCGTAGCTCCCTTCTGTGATCCCTGGCCCTCCCCGCTCCCTGGGTCCCGGCACCAGGTTGTCTGCATGGTCCAGCGGGACGTAGTGAATGCTCAGTTTACTTTTGTGGAAGGAGGGACACATTCCCCTGTTGTCCTCCCTTGGCTTTTCTTACACAGTGTGTGTGCCCCAGCTAAATGATGAGCTCTCAAAGGAAAGGACTGTGCCTTCATGGCCCCGCCGCCTCCCACACTGCTCAGTGAAGAACCTAGAGGGTAGTAATCATTTCGTTGAATAAACGAATGCATCAGTGAATGAATACATTTGTTGAGCTTCAGGGAGTAATGAAGAGTCAGTGGGTATTTGTGGAATGAAAGATGGATTAAGAGGAAACACTTTGGCTTCCAGACACTTTTTAAGCCATAGAAAGGATTTTAAACAACTCGGCAGAGTTCTTATTTTACACGCCAGAAATCATAAATTTACTGAAATCATTCTCTTTAGAGCTCTAGTAATCATCCAGTTCCAAATCTATTTGGCCAGGGCTGGGATGGACCACATCACCCCTGGGCCCCGGGCCACCTGCTCTGTCCCTCACCCACCTCCTTTCTGCCCACCATCCACCAGCTTCCTGTCCTTGACCCCCCAGGATCCCCCTCAGTGTGCCTGAGCGAGGCCTGCGTCTCAGTGACCAGCTCCATCTTGAGCTCCATGGACCCGACGGTGGACCCTTGCCAAGACTTTTTCAGCTATGCCTGCGGTGGCTGGATCAAGGCCAACCCTGTGCCTGATGGCCACTCACGCTGGGGCACCTTCAGCAACCTCTGGGAACATAACCAAGCCATCATCAAGCACCTCCTTGGTAAGCACCCAGTGGGGAGAGCCATAGTGGGCCACAGAGGGGCACCAGCACCTGGGCCTCCCAGCCATCCTGGTTAGGGAGGAGCTTGGCAGAGGGGAAGACACGGATTTCTAATAGGCGAAGTCAGCTGCGACCATCTGCCTTGTGTGGCCCTGCACATATGTTACCTCTCCAGGCCTCAGTTTCCTCATCTGTGAAATGGGACAAACAAAACCCAAGCCGCAGCACTGTGAGAACCAGAGAGCACACGTGTGAAGCAGTGGCCTGGAGTGTGTGGCCCACAGCAGGTGCACAAGAATGGGTAGCTGATGTCATTACGTTTGTGACTTTAGCTGCAGCTTAGTTTTTCAGCCAGTATTGGCTGCATTGTGAAAGTTGTGAGCCAAAGGAACGAAGGGCGAATCCACTCTGATTGTGAAAGGTTCTTTGTTTTAGAAGTTTTTGCTATAGGGCGCGTGCACTCACTAGAAAGACAGAGACAGAGAGACAGAAAGTGAGAAATCACCCCCCAGGGGGGATGGCCACGCCACAGTCCCTTCTCCTCCATTCTCTCGGGATCCTGGGCATGCACGCACACGCGCCTGGCGTGAGTTTAAGCCACTGGGTCCGGGATTCGAACCACGGTTGACTACATGGGAGTCCAGCCACATAGCCATTATGCCAACTGCTGGTCGTGGCCCGATGAAAGTTTTAACAACAGTTGATATCAGAGAGCCTTGGGGGGAGCAGGCCTCAGCCATCCCACCACAGTTCTCTTTGCACCTCCTTAGGCCTTGCAGCGTCTCTGGGGGACCTGGCTCCGCTGGTGGCTTTGCCTGTAGATTAGAATCTCGCGTTCATCTCTGCAGCCGTGTCCCCATAATGTTTATCTGTTGCCACCTGTGCATCGGGGTCCTTCCCCAGTGTGAGATCACGACACTGTGCTGTCCCACAGAGGCCGGCTGAGCCCCTTGGCCCTGTCCTGCTGATCGCTGTCCTGCCTTGGGCCCCTCAGTGCCGGGACAGGCCCAGTCATGGGAAACCCGTCCACTCATCTGTCAGTGAGGGAACTTAGTTCTGACAAATACTTAAGTTCTTAAAAAAAATCCTCTAGGTACTCAAACAGAAGATACCTGAAAGGGGACAGAGCCCTCTGGTGAGGTAGAGACGGCGTTCAGTGTGGGTCATCTGCGCCTGTTAGAGTGGGAATGGGCACACCAGCTGGGCTTGTCTCCCTGAGGATCAGAGCAGGGGCACGTAGGCAGGTGGCTAAGGACCCTCGTAGGTCAGAAGCAGCAAACCTCCTGCCGTCTGTGCTTTTAACGGTGCCTCTGAAAGGGGACCCAACCCTTCATTTCAGAGCCAGAAGCTAACAGGCAAATGTGTCTGTGGTAGCGGGACTGGGGCTCAGGGACGTCCCCGCCCCAGAGCCTGGTGACCCAGCCGGGGACTCGGCAGAGACCACGCAGGGCAGCATTGTGTAAGAGGTGGGCTGCTGACTCTACCAGAGTCTCCAGGACCTTGGCTCGTGCCCTGACTCTACCACTTACCGCGAGATCTGGGGTGAGTGACATGACCTCTCTGGACTTGTCTTCCCCTCGGTACAGTGGAAGCCATGCCTCCTCCGAGTTACGAAAACTGTTATAAATAGGAAAGAACGTTTAAAGCGCCTTGTCCAGGCCTGGCACATCGGGTGGCTGCTGTTCATGATGACATCGTTGCTGCACTTCTCCCTGGGTCCTTGCCCAGCCTCTTACAGTTTCCAGAGCTTTCTGTCAATGCTATCCATTTGATCTTGTGAGGCGGAAGTCGAGAAGGTATAATTCACCCTGTTTGATAGACAGAGAAACCGTGAGGTCCTCGAGACAGGCTAGTAGGTGGCAGAGCTGGAACCTCTCCCCTGCCCCACGCCAGTGGCAGGTACAGCTCCCTCCCTGCCTTGTCAGAGAGAAGCTGCAGGGAACACAGAGGCTGAAGGGGGGAGGGAGAGGCCGACATGTGTCAAGGGCCACTATGTGCCCAGAGCTGAACCAGGCTCCTCACAACCACTGCCTCCTCCATCCTCACGACAGCCCTGAGACTTAGAGATGGGCATTCCCATTTTATAGATGCAGAAACTGAGGCTCGGAGAAATTAAGTAACTCTGCCGAGGCCACACCTCTAGTCAAGAATGGAGGGGGACTCGCACTCTGGGGAGCACTTGGTGCTGGGACAGGATGGGGCAGGAAGGCAGCCCAGCCCTCTCACCTCCCAGGTCGGCCCAGAACTGGCCCTTGGGTGTTGCGCCACTGGGTTCCAATCTTACTGGATGGGGCTGGTTTGGTCAGGAAGACCTTGGGTCTGAGCCCAGAGCAGTTCATTCCTCCACTCCACCTCCCAGGAGTCAGGGTTCTGGGGGGGTGACTTCCAGTCCTGGGCCCTGGCCCTGAAGGTCACGTCGTGGGTAGGGGCTGCTCTGAGCTGGGCGTGGAACAGACAGAGCCTACAGTCAAGCCCTCGGCCCTGGGTCCACAGTCTGGTGGTATCAGGGGATGAGACTGCCGTATCGAAGCCAGGCAGCCTCAGTGTGCTAGCTCAGCTCAGCTACTCATCACGTGGGGACCAGCAGGCAGCATGGAGGTTAAGGCAGCTGGATCCTACATGGCCGATTTCATGGTTCAAGTCCCAGACTCAGTGGATTGAAATCATGCCAGGCACATGTGCATGTGTACCCAAAATCCCAAGTGGAGACTAGAGGAGAAAGGATTGTGGCATGGCCATCCCCCTGGGGGTGATTTCTTCATTTACCTCTCTTTCTGATCTCTGGCAAACACATACACCCTATAACAAAACTGGGGGGGGATTAATTGTGCAGTTAAAGAAAATAATAATGATTGCTTATTTTAGTTCATATAGAAGCACTAATGTCGCCACAGTTATCAGAGAAAGGAGGTACAGGACATGCCTGTGACACACTGAGCTTCTTGTATTATTTCACGGAAATGCCTGTGGGAAGCCCGTAGAGTAGACTGAATATGCCCATTTTACAGCTGAGACTCACAAGTGCAAAGGAAATTTATCTCCCAGGAAACGATGAAACTGGGATTCGGACGCAGAGCCATGGAGCCTCAGGACCTTTATACTTTCTCTACTGAGCCTATCGTGTCTGATTCACTGTGTAGAGACCCTGGGGCAGCACTGCTCAGAGGAGAGCTATGAAGGCAGTTACCAGGACTGCACGGCTGAACTGTCCAGACGAGCAAGCCAAGCCCTGGCCAGGTCTGATGGGCACAGTAGCTGTGGTCATCTCCGCCTAGGCTCACTCCTGGGAACTAGTCTAGAAATGGCCCCTCACCTGGGGACCTTGATACCTGGAGTTGCCTGAAATGCAGCAGCAGGTAAGTGGGTGTCAAAAATGCAGGCATGAGGGGACCAGCTGCTAGCATAATGGCTATGTCGCTGGACTCCCATATAGTTGACCATGGTTCGAGTCCCGGACCCAGTGGCTTAAACTCACGCCCGGCACATGTGCGTGCATACCCAGGATCCCAAGAGGAGAATGGAGGAGAAGGGATTGTGGCATGGCCATCCCCCCCGAGGGGGGATTTCTTGCTTTCTGTCTCTCTGTCTCTCTCTGTCTTTTCTGGAGAGCACACGCGCCCTATAGCAAAAATCTCTCCTTCCCCAAAAAAATACAGGCATGGGAATGGGTGGGGAAGAAAGGAAGAGTATAGAGAAGGATAGCAAGAGAACAAATATAGCCATGACATTCGTGGGGCACAGAAATGGTGTATTACCCGTTGATGATAACATGTACAGTGTTCTCGACTGGACTGGTCCGAGAAGTATTTCATGTTGGGTAAATGCTCTTTGCAAGCCAAATGATATATAGTGATTAAATGTTTAAAAAAAATAATGAGAATAAATAATAATAATCTGAAAACATTATGAAAAGCTATTTGATGATGATGTGGATAGTCTTAACTGATATGCATGGTAATCATGCTGGAAAAAGAAATATAATACATTGTAAAGACATATGTCATTAAATGTAATATAAAAAAAGAAAAGAAAAAGAAAAGTCATGGCATTTTTTCTATGTGAAAATGCAGCATGACTCTGATGACTCCATATAAAGCTACTAGAAAAAAAAATAGAGGAAATGCTTCATGATTGGTCTGGGAAAAGCCATTTTGGTTAAGACTTCAGGAACAGAGGCAATAAATGAAAAAATAGACAAATGGAATTATATCAAATTAAAAGGCTTCTACACAGCAAAAGAAAAAATTAACATAGTGACAAGACCACCTATAGAGCGGGAGAGACTATTTACATACTATACAACCAACAGGAAGTTATAATCAAAACATACAAACAACCCAGCAGCAAAACACAATCCATTTTAAAAATTAGCAAATTATGTAAAAAGGTATTTCCCAAGACCCGCAGTTGGCATAATGGCTGTATCGCTGGACTCTCATGTAATCGACCATGGTTCAAATCCCAGACCCGGCAGCTTAAACTCACGCCAGGCGTGTGTGCGTGCATTGCCAAGATCCCAAGAGGAGAATGGAGGAGAAGCAATTGTGGTGTGGCCCTCCCCCTGGGTGGGGGTGGGGGGGGTGATTTCTCGCTTTCTGTCTCTTTGTCTTTCTCTGTCTTTCTGGTGAGTGCACATGCTCTATAGCAAAAACCTCTCAAAAAAAAAAACAACAACAACAATAACAAAGGTATTTCCCCAAAGAAGCATAAAAATAGCCAACAACACATGATACGAAAAAATGCTCAGCATCACTGATTATTAGAGAACTGCAAATCAAAACCACAGCAAGACATCATCTCACCTCAGTTAGAATGGCTATAATCAAAAAAACAAATAAAAATGTTGGTGAGGATACAGAGAAAGAAGACTCTTTTGTTGTTGTTGTTGTTTTTGAGAGGTTTTTGCTACAGGGTACGTACTCTCGCCAGAGAGACAGAAAGCGAGAAATCACCCCCCCAGGGGGGATAGCCATGCTGCAATCCCTTCGCCTCCATTCTCT